AGACATGCTCTGTCACTAGGACTCTACTCTGATGCCCCACCCTGGGCTGAGGTCTGAGATGCCAGCCTCGGCACAGAGGTGTCTGGCCATGACCATGGGGAACTTGGGCAGTGGGTGCTTCACCTGAACGCATTCACTGTTCACATCACAACCATCACAAATGCTGCCTTGCTCCCAGAGAGTTGCCCTCAGGCTAGGCTAGAGGTCCAAGGACACGCCTGTCTGCTGTCCTCAGATATTTAAAGGCTTTATAGAGAGCTGTCAAGGGAGTAGAGACAGTGGGGACTTTGCCAAGAAAGAATATGGGGATAAAACTAGCCAGAAGGAAAATTCTGTTTTCCCCAACATGGACAGCAGCTCTAATGCTCTGTGGGCAGACTTTGCCTTTCTGTGGTTCTTTACTTTATGTGGCTGTGAGATAAGAGATGCTCTGCTGTGTGAATGCCCTTCTCACTTAAGGTTTAATTTCACTCTGAGTAAACCCCCCCCCCTTTTTAAAAAAAAAAAAAAAAAGGATTTCTTTAATGATTTCTTTAATGAGGCAAAGAAGAGTTTGTGAAACAGAGGACAAGAAAAATGCAGCCAGTTTTAAGTCCGTGGCCTTGGAGGCCCTTGCTGCCAGTGACAAGGCAATGGAGGTAGAGGTCTCCTACAGCACTTCCAGTTGAAAAACAGAGTTATCAAAGCTCAACAATAACCTTTGAAAAATTATTTCACCTGTCGAACAAGGCCTAAAGCAGTTGAACTTCAGAGTTTGAATCTTTTCACATCGTCAACCCTCAATTACACCTTTATTCAAGTAAGACTGCTATTCTTTCCTGTGTATTTGCAGCACCAAGTGCTACCTTGTGTTAAACTGCAGGGGCTTTTCAATCAATATGAAGTTTGGCCCTTACCGTACAAAGGGCGACAGATTCGCAGCATCAAGTGAGGTCCCCGTTTGTGACAGGTCTGTCACCTCCATATCGGCCAGGCAAAAGAAAATCCCACCCCGTCCAGTCACACTGAGACACCATTAGAGATGCTACAGCCCTGAGAGAGGGGCTGCCTGGCCCATGTGGCACAGGGAGACGGAGCCTCCCTAAGCCTCCTCCTCCCCAGCCCTTACCGAGCGAGACACAGATGCCCTGCTTGGTGAGCTCCCGGATCACCTCACTGCTCCTCTTCATCTCTGGGGCCAGGGTGACTATCCGGACACAGTCCAGGGACCCGTAGGTGGCAAGCAGGTCCTGGAAGGCACCTGCCTCAAAGGTGCGGAGACAGTGCTCCGGGTGCGCCCCTTTCTTCTCCTTGCTGATGAACGGTCCTTCCAGATGGGCCCCTGCCCAAACAGGAACACAAAGCTATGACCCTTCCTCTCCCCGCCAAGGACCAAGAAACCTGCTGTGTCTACCCTGCTCCAGTCAAGCTCTTCCCATTCTCCCGCAGCAAAACACATGGCTCAGGTAACTCTGAGCTCAGCACAGCGAAAGATGCAGCGCTGGCAACTGGCCAAGCCAAGCCACCCCACTGCCATTAACCTGTGGGGCCCAAAAGGGCTGGAGCAGTGTGTGTATCATGGCAGAGACCACGGCAAAGGCCAGGCACAGGTTGAGGGAGAAAGCGGGTCTGTGCCCTCCTGTGCACCCCTCCCATCAAGATAGCTCCAGCCCCCATTTGTCCTGTCCCTACAGTAGCTTCTTTCTCCTTAACAATGAACAAGATAATTGCCCACCTAGAGTATCATCAGAAAGGATAGCGAGGGACAAAACCACTTACCCAGGATACCTGCTCCGTGGGCTCCACCATTTCTTATACTGATCTGAGGGAGAACCTAGAGAAAGGGGTTTGTCAGACATGGCACCCCAGACACAGCACCCCAGCCTGCCAAAACAAACCCAGACCTCGGGTCCAGAGAGAGCTTTGTAGCTGGACCACTTGGGACCATCAGCCAAACACAGCTCGCGAAGAAAAAGCCAGCTGCAAGCCCCGTTGTGCAAAGCTGGCCTGGGAGACATCGCTGTCTTAGCGATGTCTAAAGGTTAAGGGCAAGAAATCCAGGGGTAAAGTCCAGCTCCTCATGCCCACGGCTTTTCCGCCAAGGCAGTTATCTCAGCCTCTGCAGACCCAGCCCTTGGCCCTCTCACCTCTTAGTACCAACCTCAGCCCTTTACCACCCTGCAGATGAGAGGGGAAGAAAGTCACTTGCCTGGTGGTACACAGATGGAGGAGAGGTCACCAGGGTGGGACAGAAGGAGGTCACTCCATGGGAGAGGATTTTCTGACTGACCAAGTCAATCCCTGATTTGAAGTCATCTGTAGCCAGGGAGAAGTCCACCCCAAAGCCTCCTGCACCATGAACAAAACAGAGATGAAGCTGCAGCCTCCCCGGTGGATGTTTTCCCACCTGAAAATGCCGAAGAAACATTTTGTGTGACTGGAGTGAGCCACTCCATTTGTACAGCACTGACCAGAAGCAAAGGGCTCCACCAGCACTTCTCCTGTCCTACATTTGCAAGGCTCTACGAGTACAAATCCGACCAACACCGTCCTGCTTTTCCCTGAAGTGCTTTTCCCACAGCATCCCAGCGTTTTGCAACTTTTTATTTTGATGCAGGGCAAAATCTGAGGATTCCCCATTGAAAAGGGGATCTAACTTCCAACATAAGCTACTACAGAACAAGCCTCTCTTGACCCTCAGGAAGGAGCTACCGCAGGTAAGGTTTGTTCCCTCGAGAAGTCCTGCTCTGTCCTCCCTGCATCCTGGAAAGGGTAGGGCGGGCATCCTGCCAGCACAGGGGCAGGGACTATTGATGAAAATGAGGTTAAGAGCAAAGCTGGGCTGAAACCACCACCCAGCCAAAGGGGATCAATTATGCAACAGCAGCAATCACGGGCAAGATTGTTCTTTATCGTTAGTTCGGTGACTCACATCTCCCTGGAGCAGCTGAAACGCACTTGGTAATGGGCGGTATGCATGCAGCAGGTCAGTGATGGACAAACCCGGGACCCCCCCACCCCGCTGCGAGTGTGTGTGGCTTCGCCATACCGTTGATCTGGACGTCGATGAAGCCCGGGGCGATGATGCTGTTCTTGCAGTCCAGCTGGATGTCAGCAGAGCCCTTCTCGTCAAAGAAGAGTTTCTCCGGGTTGAGGATCTTCCCTTCTCGCACCCACAGGTCCTCCCTGAAGGGACAGTTACACACACACACCAAGCTCTTCTGCCATCCGTGGTGGAGCACATGGGAGCAGGTGGCCATGGCCCCAGGGACAGGGGTGGCTCAGGCAGAGCAGACCCCACCGGCACCCTCTGCCATGGGCTCTCCGACGTCTACTAGGGCAAAGCTGCTCTTCCAGCAGTGAGATGGCTGGCAGCCCTCCCTCCGTGTGGCCTCTGGCTTTACAAAAGTCGCGGGAAGGGGATTTTGATGGGCTGCCCGCCAAACGTGGTGGCGATGGCCAAGCGGCCCAGGGGCTGGCAGAGGAGGCAAAACGAAAGACGAGGGGAGCAGAGAGGGGCCGTACAACACACACGCCTCATCTCCTTCAGAAATCAGGCGGAGGGGATGAGGGACGGTGGGAGGGCAGGGGGGCGAGAGCCGGCAGCTGATGCACTGGAGGACCTGGGGACCGTCCCTCGGGCGCTCCAGGTTAGCTCTG